GGAGAAGAGACTGAGGGTCCCAGGGGACCTCCCCTCTCCACCGCCTCTGCTTACCTGGCTCAGGGGCTCCGTCGTGGGGCCTGGCGGGCAGCGGGCGGGGGCCTCGCGGACGAGGGCCAGGCCGGGCCAGGGCCACGGGCCCCAGGAACTCCACGTAGGTGCCGGGGAAGTCACCGCGCTGCCGTGTGCGTTCGTTAAACCCGGGCATCCAGCCCACGCTCTGCGGGCAGCGCTCACCGCCCTCGCTCACGCCCAGCGCCTGCAGGGCCGCCCTGCTGACCACCAGCATGTCGCCGGGCAGCAGCTCCAGGTCCTCAGGCCGCTCCCGGCGGAACGGGTACAGCGCGCGGTACTGGAAGCCCTCGGCGCCGGCCATGGTGGCCGCCTGGGTGGCTTGGGGCGCTCAGGTGGCTGCTGGGGGCCCCGCTGGCCCCATGGGCCGGGGTGCGGGGTCCGTGAGTTGGCCTTGGGGGGCCCGGGTGTCTACTTCCAGCAGAAGTCGGGGCGACCGTGGGGATCGCTCATGCTTGCTGTCCCAATGTGACACAGCCGTGACGAGGGCTGCGTGTCGCTCTGTGCACCATGCGTCTCCCACGCTGCGTGGGTCTGTGCAGTGCTCTTGGGTCACTCGGCCACTGGGTCCCCCAGCAGATGGTGGCGCTGCGGCCAGTGGCTCACTCACTTCCGCGGGGGGCCATCGGAGGCTGAGGCTGCCAGCTCCTCCGGCTGTGCCAGACGAGATGGCCAAGGGCACAGGCTGTCACCATGTTCAGCCACAGAGACAGACCTGGAGGAACAGGGACGGGACAGAGTCAGCAGCTGGCCCACAGACACGGGCCCAAAGATGGATCAGCATGTCCAGGTGACCTGCAGCCGGATCCTGTTCTCTCTGCGCCTCAGTTTCTCTGTCTATGAAATGAGCTGTCCCACGTACACTGTGCACTCAGCCAACAGCTCGGTAGAGAAGGGGGAAACTGAGGCTCAGAGCAGGAAGGTCAGGAAGAAACCAGGAGCAAAAGCCACACCTGCCAACTCCGGGCTTAGACAGACAGACGCAGGCTGCAGGTGCACGGCCACCTGGTGAATAGAACTCAGATCAGTGGATGAAGCGGGTGTGTGTGAGTGGGGTGCTGGGTGTGCTTTTGGGTGGCAGCTGAGCAGTGAAGGAAGCAGAAGACGGAGAAAACGGTGAGGAAGGAGCCCCAAGTGGAAGCTCAGAGGTCTGTCCCAGCCAGAGGACCCCAAGTCTGCAGAAAGCGGAAGGAGAGGGTCCCCAACAACGGAAAACACAGGGAGGCATCAACAAGCGCCAATGGGGACCTTAGCTCCGGGTGGGAGGAGGATGGACGTGGACAGAGAGGGTGCTGCACACTCCCCCGAAAAGCCTCAAGCTGGGGGTGCAAAGCTCAGCCTCATGGGGGACCTCGTGGGGTGCAGAGCTCTCCTGGAGGCCCTGAGGATGGCCTGGCAGAGGCAGGGGCCATGCTAGCACTTGGCATGGGGACAGTGGTGCCAAGAGCACCCCAAGTGCCAAATGCAAAGTCCTGGCTTTGTCCCCGGGGTGCAGGGACCGTGACAGGTGTCCAGCACGGAAGCGGAACCCAAATGCCCTTGTCCCCACCTGCCACGGGGGGGGAAAAATCGAGTCCAGGAGCGGGCACCCACCGTGCGCCCTGGTGAGCGCGCGCGCGCGCACGCGCAGCAAGGCGGGGGGGGGGGACGCGGCGGCGCGCACGCACGCACTCGCGTACGCACGCCTTCGACCCGGGGGACCCCGCAGCAGAGGGACGCCGGAAGTGGGTGTACCCCGGTTTCCCCCCGCCCAGCACGATCTCGGGGTGGGGGGGCGGCTCCGGTTTCCCACCTCCCACACACACACCCGAACCCCGAAATCCGTCCGAACTGTCTCGGGCGTGCGCTTGGCCGCCGACCCCCAATTCCCGGGACTCGCGGTCTGTCTGCCTTCCAACGCGGCCCGCGAGCCCCGCATACGAACCCAGCCTGGCCCGTTCCGCATTCACCTGGTCGCGGCCACCGTCACATTGAGCCGAGCCGAGCCCAGCCCGCCTTGTGGTTCCACCGCGGCCGCCCGTCGCCTCAAACGCGGGATCCCGGCGTCAAGCCGCCGCCGCCGCCGCCGCCGCCGCCGCCGCCACCACCACCGCCGCCGTTCCGAACCGCCGGGCCCGCCCCCTGACGGAAATAGCCGAGTGCACTCGGGTTCCCGAGGCCACGGCGAAGTTAAGGAAGGGACATAGGATGGCTGAATGTTTCCGGAAAGAGCCGAATGTACACCCGCGGGACTGCAGGAGTTGTTAGCGCGAGAGAGCCGAGCGTTTCCGGAAAGAGCCGAGTACAGTCGGGTTGCGCGGATCATCCAACGCTTTGACGCTCGGCTGGTCTAGTGCCTTCCGATCGTTTTCGGAGATACCCGAACACAATCGAGCGTACTCGGTTCCAATTCCATGTCGGCCCGGGGAGTTGAGACCGGACGACTTCGTCCAGCTTCCGGAAATTGCCGAAGCTTGGACAGTTCTGGAGGGAGGGTTATGAGGCGGTCTCAAAATCTCAGCGGAAAACAGTAAAGGGCGCAGTGTGCCTCAGAAAAATTAAGCTTTTCCGGAACCACTCGTGTCTCCCGTTTCCATGGCACCCGCCCGCGTCCGGAAGCACCTGAAAGATTTCCGGCCTTGCAGTTGCCCAGAGCGTGGCCGGCTTGTGGACAGCTGCACGATTGTTTCCGGAAATACGCGGAATTGGGGAAGGGGCGTGGCCAAGGGTGTTTCCGAGCGGCCGACCGGCTGGCGAAGATCTCCGGAAGTAGCCGATCCCTCTCGGGACGGGTTCGGGGAAGTGCTCTAATTGCGAGGCCGAGCCCAAGCAAAAACCAGAAAACAAAGGACATAGAAACGGCTAATTTGTCTTATTGACGTAGCTTAGGGCTCCACATGGGGATATGGATGAAGCTTTTTGTTTTTCTTTTAGAACGAGGTTTATCTGTGTTGCACTGTTTGGTATTGAACTCCTGACCTCAAGGGCTCCTATAGTTCCCGCCTCCCAAGTGGCTGGGGCTCTGGGGCTCTGGGGCCTGGATTGACTATTAAAAAACCACAAGGCTCATGTGCGGGATAAAACACCCCAGGGAGAATCTCACTGGTGAACTCCTATGCAACCTGCAAAACCCACTCCAAAGGACTCATTACCCCGAGTTGTTTTCACCACCCACAAATGCACACATTAGGCCTCTTTGTAAATATGGGCTTTTATTCACTGCCAGCTGCATACGGCAGGCATGACACGATACGCACAGCCTCGGTCTCCCCTCCAGCCCCGGCAGGGCTGGGTTGGGACCCACGGGCGGATACAGAGCCTCACAAGCAATCGGGGAACAGCCGTGTCGCCAGCCTCCTCCAACGGCCTCCCCGAGCCATGGCGGGACAAGGCCCTGCCCCTGTCTGGCCTCAGCTGGACTGTGCCTTGCAGGTGACCAAGACGGCACGAGTGAAAGCACTCAGCACACAGTAGGTGCTTAATAAATAGTCGTTGAGATTAGTCTTGTAAACACGAGGAAACTCAGGCACAGAGTGGGAAAGCCATTTTCCCCAGAGACACACAGTGAAGCTGAAATTCAAACTCGGGTCATTGATGTCCCCAGATGGATTTTTTTCTTTTTTTTTTTTAAGGGCTCAGACACACAGACTCGTCAACAAGTGGACACTCTTCTCCTGCACTGGCAGTGCCTCCCTGTAGACAGGGTGGCCTCTGTTTAGATCTGGCGAACTCCTATTCACCTGTCAAAACCTCAGCTCCCACACCCCCTCCTCTAGACTGCAGCCTGCAGGACTGGAGGCAGACTACCAAGGGCAGCTGTGACCGTGAGAAGTGGCCTCTGGGATCCATCTTGGGGAGCATATTGTTTTGTGGGAAAGGGCTTCTCCAAGTCCTATCTGGGGTCACGTGAGCTTTGTCACAACCCGTCAAATCTGCCTGGGCTCAGGTGACACACACGCACACACACACACGGGCCGGATGTAAAAGTACAGATGAGCTAAAAACACAAACAGACTTGTGCAAGGTGCTTCTGTCTCAGCCCAGAGAGCAGCGTCTGCAAACAGGAGGGAAGGAAAATGGGGGGACTTGGGGGACCCAGGACCTGGGAGCCGCCCCCTCGGGGTGCCTCAGTTTTCCTATTGCTTATTTTACAAAAA